CTAGCCAGCAGGCTAGCTAGCCAGCAGGCTAGCTAGTCAGCAGGCTAGCTAGCCAGCAGGCTAGCTAGCCAGCAGGCTAGCTAGCGAGCAAGTTAGCTAGCCAGCAAGCTTGCTAGCCAGCAAGCTAGCTAGCGAGCGAGCTAGCTAGCCAGCAAGCTAGTTAGCTAGCTAGCTAGCCGGCAAACTAGCTAGCCAGCCAACCAGCCAGCTAGCTAGCTAGCTATCCAGCTAGCTAGCTGGCTAGCTAGCTAGCTAGCCAAGAAGTCCCGCACTGCTCAGCTTCAGTCCGCGTCGAAGTATGCGTCCTGAAGGTCCCTGTTCGCCTGCAAGCACAAAAGCCCAGCTAGCCCTGGCTATGTGGCTATGGCTAGCTAGCTGTGGCTAGCTCGCTGCGGCTAGCTAGCTGCAACTAGCTAGCTGCTGCTAACTAGCTGTGGCTAGCTAGCCATAACTAGCTAGCTGCGGCTAGCTGTGTGTGGATGGCTAGCTCGTCCAGCTGCGGCTTGCTGCCTGTAGCTAGCTAGCTAGAGGCTCCTAGCGATCTGTGGCTAGCTAGCTGTGGCCAGCTAGCTATGGCTAGCTAGCTGTGGCTAGCTAGCTGCCAGCTCCAGCAAGCAGCTAGCCAGCCCGCCACGGACACACTGAGGCTGGGGGCAGCCAATGCTCAGGCCCACAGCCACAGCACCCCAGAGGCCTCGCGCAGCAGCAGCAGCAGCAGCAGCAGCAACTGCAGCAGCAGCAGCAGCAGCAGCAACTGCAGCAGCAGCAGCAGCAGCACCTGGGTGATGTCATCTAAAGAGTCGTCGGCGTCGATTGCGGCGAAATCCACACCGGGAAAATTGCCAGCTAGAAAGCGGAGACGCATCACCTCGATAAAGTCCTGCAGCAGCAGCAGCAGCAGCAGCAGCAGCAGCAGTAGCAGCAGCAGCAGTAGCAGCAGCAGCAGCAGCAGCAGCGGCAGCAGGGTGCGGGTGCGCTCTTCCGCCTCCCGCCTGCCCTCTCGCCGCTTTTTTCTAAACTCCACTTCTTCTCTTTTTTCCTTTTCTGTCTTTTTCAATTTGGGTTTTCATCTTTTCTAGGGTTTAGGGTTTAGGGTTTAGGGTTTAGGGTTTGGGGTTTACTTTCCGGTTGTTTTCAAACTCTTCTGGAGAAATTTGCGTCACTTCAGCTTCTCCGCAATCTGAGAGCTGCTGCTGCTGCTGCTGCCGCTGCTGCTGCTGCTTCTTGTGGCGCCGTCGCTGCTGCTGCTTCTGTCGCCTGTGCTGCTGCTGCTGCTGCTGCTGCTGCTGCCGCGCTGCAGCAGCGCCACGCTCTACACGTCTCGATGGCTCTACTTCAGCCAAGATTCCAGACACCTGCTGCTTTTGCTGCTGCTCGCATTGCTGCTGCTGCAGCTGCTGCTGCAGCAGCTGCTGCTGCTCTTCCTCGTCCTCTTGCTGCTGCTGCTGCTGCTCCCTCTCTGCGTCTTCTCTCTTGTCGCCTTCTGCGCTCCGTGCTGCTGCTGCTGCTGCTGCTGCTGCTGCATTTGCTGCTGGTGCTGCTACTCCCCCTTCCGCTGTTCCGGCGCCTTGCAGCTCAGCCAAGTTCTCTCTTTCTGCCTGCTGCTGCTGCTGCTGCTGCTGCCGCTGCTGCTGCTGCTGCTGCTGCATGCGTTTGAGCTGCGCATAGAACTGCTGCTCCTGGGCCTTCCAAATTTGTTTTTGTTTTATTATTTTTTCTTCTTCTTCTTCTCTGTCGTAGGCGCGGTCAAGCATGGTGCTGTAGAGCACCCCTGCCTTGCTGCTGCTGCTGCTGCTGCTGCTGCTGCTGCTGCTGCTGCTGCTCCTAGTTGCCAGAGTGGTGCAGCTAGCCGAGGTGTCGGGAACACGGGCAGCTGGCGGCGAAGCAGCGGCTGCGGCAGCTGCTTTCGCAGTTGCTGCTGCTTCTGCTGCAGCTGCTGCGGCAGCTGCAGCGGCTGCAGCAGCAAGCTCGTCATCTTTGTCGTCAGCTGCAGCAGCAGCAGCAGCAGCAGCAGCAGCAGACGCCTCTGCATCTGCTGCTGCAGCTGCAGCTTCTGCTGCAGTCGGCGACCTAGCAGCAAGGGAGAAGCTGCACTCAAAGCGGCCAACCATTTCCTCGTACAGCGCGGGCTGCAGCAGAAGCAGCAGCAGCAGCAGCAGCAGCAGAAGCAGCAGCAGCAGCTGCATGAGCAGCAATGCTTTGCTACAGCAAGATCAGCCAAGTCTGTGGCTTCTATTCGTGTAAACTGTGCTGCTGCTGAACGTGGTCCTGCTCCTGCAGTTGTTGCTGCTGCTGCAGTTGCCACTGCTGCAGTTGTTGCTGCTGCAGTTGCTGCTGCTGCTGCTGCTGCTGCTGCAGCTTCAAGGTTTGCTTCCTACCTCTACACGCTTAAGTGCTTCCTCAGAAAAGAAAGTTCCTTCTTCCTGCAGCTGGCGCATGCGCTGTAGCCGCCGGTTTTGCTGCACCTGCAGCAGCAGCAGCAGCAGCAGCAGCAACCCAC